AAGAAAAGTTGGGTTCATTTTCAAAAGTGAATAGGAAGAGAAAGGATTAAAGAAAGAACGGTAGAACATGTGGTCACTTTCTTTTCTTCACCAATGCTACGGGAATTTTCCTCGTTATCTTGTTTTCTTTTTGTCTGAATGTGATTTTTATTATAGTTTCTTATAACTGTCATGTGATTCCGCTTTAAGAACAAAAGACATTAGATTAATTCCTATTTGAATTGGATCTGATCAGACATAGGCCAATCAATGATTGCATGATTTTTATATTAGTTAATTTTCGACTATTTCATATGTCTACGAACAGAAGTCCACAACAAATGCACATATGTAATATTATATTCTGCGAGAAGCCAAAAGTCGACGGTACCAGTTTTTTGATGCTTCGACGGCAAATTTTGAAAGTGCAGCTTGGGGCGCTAGAAAAGTGAAACCATGAAAACCACCAGACCATACGTGTAGTTCAGCAGCGCCACCAGCTTGCCAGATACGTTGAGCATAGTCGATGGCCTCATCACGGAAAGTCTCGGTGGAGCCAACATCGATATAAGCTGGAGGTAAATTGCTAAGGTTTTGTGCTCGTGATGGAGCAGCATATGGGGACACATCTGTGCCTCCTCTCTGATTGCCAAGCAGTGCTGCCCAGCCTGTTAGATTTGATTGGCGATCCCAGATGCCCATACCCTCGAACTGGTAAGTTGAAGGCGTTTGGTTACGATCGTCAAGCATAGGACAGATGAGCAGTTGACCATGTAATTCGGGACCCTTCCGATCACGTGCCATTAATGCCATGGCAGCTGCAAGGCCTCCTCCTGAAGAAATGCCCATCACACTAAGTTGAGACAGATCAATACCTAGCTCTTGCGCATGTGCCGCAGTCCATAATAGTCCGGCATAACAGTCTTCAGAAGGAACAGGATGGAGATGTTCGGGTGGAAGGTGATATTCCACTGATACAATGACAACGTTGAATTCCAAGACCCAGTCAAGTAAAAGTTCCATACCGGAGCGATTATCTCCTGCAATCATTCCGCCGCCGTGTGTATGGTAGATGCAAGGCAGTAATGGAGCGGATGTAGTTGTCGTCAAAATCGTAGGACGGCAGATCAGAAGCGAAATCTCGGATGCGTCTTTTGGACCAGGTACTTTGCGCTCTTCAACATCGATCTTCCCCTCTCGACGTAAATCATCATCGCTTAATCGCATTTCGAGAAGGCGCTTCCGCATCACGGGTATGGTTTCGAATGTAATAGGACGAAAAGCTTCGATGAGAATTAATTGCTGCAAGACTAGAGCAAGTTCCGGATCATAAGGTGGTGGCTTATGAATATTGGCCATCGTGTAAGCAATCTGCAAGTCGAAGATAGAAGAAAAAACGAAGAAAGGCTAATGAATAGAGATAGAGGGAAATGGCATCACTTATGTTTATCTGAGAATATTGTCTTTAGTATTCTATAGATAATTCTTTTAAGAAAATTTATGCAGTTTGAAAGGGCTACTTGTTGTAAATGCGAGAAAAGGAACAACATCATTTTTGTGTCTTCTCAAGATAAAGGACGATGCATGCCAAGGAAAGATTGAGAAAAAAAGAAAGGAGTGAAGAACAGTAGGCAATAGAGAATGGCTTATTCCTAACGGTAGGATGTATGGTTGAGCAAAATTGGTCTGACTATAAACGTCAAATAACATATTTCGAACAATTGAGTTTTCATTTATACAAATAATATATTTAATTGATGTTGGACGAAATATAACTAGTAGAATATTTTAAGTTGATGACATGATTAAAAAAAAAAGATGAAATAATATTACAGTCTATTTTCTTTCTCTTTATCTATTCATGAGACAGCATTTTTCAAACAAATGTTATCAGCAACTTTTCACATCGCGTGACTAGATGTTATTTTAATATTGTGCGACCCAATAGATAAGGAAAGCATTACTATCTCTCTCATACATTCCCTTTAAGGGTACAACCCGTCCCTTTCCGGCATTTTTACAGAATGGCTGATCAGAAAATTTAGAAACTTTCAGGACAGATAGATCTCGAGTGTGGGTGTTGATCTTCACTTCCTTAACACTTACATCGCACCCATCCACACGCACGCCCACAATGAGACTGTATCAACATATGCAGCTCAATAAGCTCTACGGACAGAAAAATCGTTCCAAAATATTGATGCAAAAGCCAAAATTCACTGCTTTTTATTTCATAAACATGACAGATGCTCTTAAAATTGATAAAAAAATCGATGTGTCTTCAGTTAATTCAAGTCCTAGATGGAATCATGACGAAGTCATGCAACATTGTGCCCCTGGCCCTGCCGTGTTGCCTTCGCCATATCACTCTGTGCAGTGTTATTCAAATACCGCTGTATAATTGGAACATAATATTCTGCATCACTTGTCGTATTCTGAACGCTTTCTCGTGCATTTATAGCTTCTACCCAACGGTGCCATTTTTGCCAGTGTTCACCATCCGTTGGTACGGAAAAGCCTCGATGATTTTGAACGACCAGATATAGTCTTCGGGTGAACGGCACGAGTGCAATATCAGCCATGCCGAACTGTTCACCGGTGAAATAGGGACCTTTTAGTTGTTCAGCAAACTGATAGATCGCCATTTCCAAGTCTTTTCTCGCTTCATTCTGATCATTTTCTGCTTGCGCTTGGATGAGCCGAAAGAGACAAGGCACAATCTTCCTTGAGACATGATCAGTCCACATGCGTACGCGAGCTCTGTCGACAGGATCTTCTGGCAGTAAAGGCGTTGATTGTGGGAAAGCATCTTCTAAGTATTCCATGAGTACAATACTTTCGTACAAAGGAGTGTCATTGCCGACGACGAAGGCTGGCACAAGTCCACGAGGATTGATCTTTAGGAACGATTCGTCCTTCTTGTACGGGTTGATTTCATGGTACTGATAAGGTACTTTTTTCTCTTCCAAAGCAATCCATACTCGTTGAACAAACGGACAGAACCATGCAGAAAAGAGTTGGATGGCAGCAGGCTCTTGATGTCTTGCTACCAAGTCAGCTGCCTTTCCGGTTGCAACTGGATGGACTTGTTCATCTGGTATTGATGGCATGATATCGAATTCTGATAAAGATATCTAAAGACTACACAAGAGACATAATGATGTCTTTTATTGAGATTCGAAGTAGGGTCCTGCAGCCTTGCCCTACCTTAAGGTAGGGCTACAATACAACCTCGGTAAGGTAGGATCAGGGTACGAAAACAAAGTAAGGTAAGGTAAGGTAACAAAATTCATACTCTTACAGAACTCCAGTCATAAGTTTGAGAAACGTGTCTTTTTCACTCTTGTTAACATTCAATTTTCGTTAAATTATTTATTGAAATTTTAATTTTTTCGAGTACGATGTTTTAGTCAGTAATTTTTTATTTAGAATTTTCGTTATTTTGTTAGAATTCTTGTCAGATAGCTTTTAGATTTCTCGGTTAAAGTTTTTTACAGTTACATTTTCTTAAGTAGACTTTTCCCTATTTCTATTTGACTTAGAACTTGTTGCTCGCTTGTGAGCAACGTAAGGGTCTGTTATCTTACTCGTCGTATTCGAGAGAACACCATGAAGCGCGTTCGAAAGTCAGATAGGCTCCAAGAATGGAGCAGAAGAGAAATGTATAAGTACATATATTTCTCAGGTCTAACTTCAGCGACCAATAAAGAAGTCGAAAGTTCGATTTTACCTTATATATACCTATGATAATAAGAACGAAAATAATTCTTCTATTCACATTGTACATTATTTATTAAAAGAAAAATATTCTAACGCAGTTGAGGTAGTTTTATAGCTGTTTGCATTAAGAGTGACGTCCTTCGTGATATCGCTACCTTCTGATAACAAAATCTCTAGAAACACACAGCACCTTGGAGAAGGAGAGTATACGTTATATATCGAGGCGAGTTCTATTTTTTCTTCTCTTACTCATTTTATTTTTCTTTGGTCATCATAACAAGGCAAATGCCTATCATTTTATAAAGCATGTGGCAGAAAGTCGTACCGCACTTGAAACTGTTTCTCGGATAATACCTTCTGGTTCTGACAGAAATAAGAAGAAGAATGTATCATACCATTCTGTACGAAGAAATCGTTGTAGTGGGACGAGCCGACTCATTATAATTGTAAGCTGAATGATAAGAAAGATAATATTCAGATTTTCGTATCTTCAGATCAGAGATTCCTCTATCTAACTAAAAGTCTCTTTCAAAAAATTCGATGGTACCTAGTAGTCAAAATGCATCATATTTCTTCTTATGGTCTTAAATAAATCATGTTTAATCACAAAAACATCTTCAAAAAACTGATAAAACTCATTCTGAGTAAGTGATCCAGGTGTATAATCACGTTGCCATGATCCAATATCATTAGACAATGGTGTATCATAAGAGCGATCAACACATGTTTTGGACATCTACAAATTCCGTTTCCATAGAAAACAAACTTAGACTTACAATGGCGAATGATTCTATATTGGTTAAATTTCGTCTACAATGGTCTTATCCTTGCAAACCTTCTCCCTTTATTTTTTATATAATGTCTACTCTTATCTGTTCTTATTGACTGTAACTATCTTTGTATAGAGATGCATAAGCCTGCAGTACGTGGTTGATGAAGAACACAACAAAAACAAAAAAGTTAACAGTCACATTTTGTCAATATCTAAACATCTTCATATTTATTGTTTTTTTCTCAGACAGTCCAATGATTAAAATAGTTGCTAATAACAAACCATGATCACAGTGTGGGTGTGGATGTAGGTATTCTTTTCCGAGCCCACACTTACCCATACTCACACCCACACACTCATACCTACGCATTCACACGCCACATACCCACACTCACACTACTCACACCCACACTACCTGTATTCCATACCCGTACACCCATATCCATGCCCTTTGTTGCCATACCGAGATCAATATTGTATGATTCGTAGATCAGATAGTAAAGAATATCTGACAGCCCAGCTATGCAACGACATCTTTGTTCAGAAAACATGAATGGAAAGAGACAAATGTCGAGCAGTACCTGAGACATTGTCATAATGAGTAAGAATTTGCAGAAGCAATGATAACATTATCATTCTAGGTGTGTGCATATGATAAGGAATGAGTTAACATCATGAAAGAGAAAATACATTCACTTTGCTCTCACTGCTGTGAAATATCAAATTGATATATTTTCTATTTTTAGCAGAATCAACTGAAAAGATGAGATCGATTGGCACAGTCGTAATCCTCATTTTCGTTGCTGTTCAAAAAAGCCAAGCCATTCAACTATGTCCATCATCATTAGAAAATCCTCGCTGTTTGGATGAAACCCGATTGAATTGTAATGATTCATTATTTGCTCCAACCGATTTTCACTCTTGTGATGGTCTCAGATGTGTTCCTGTAACAATTCCCGACACCGACACGTAGGAACAATATGAGACAACAATGTGCGTCGTCTCTTTCTCGAACAGACGTCGTGTTCGATCTCGTGTTGCACCAGCCAAAACTCCACCTGTGATGGCCTCTGCTTGGTCAGCAGCCACAACCTATTACAACATGTCAAATGGTGATACGGGCTGGGGACATTTTTGGTTTGATGAATCGCATAGAGCGATCCGAACCGACTTTTATCCAACATGTCCCTTTTTACAACTATATGCAGCCGGTATCGATGCCAATTATGTTCCATGCATTGTTCTTTTCTACGAAGGACAAAATTATTTTGTGTATCCATCAGCAAATGTTTGCTGCAACTATACATTTCCTGCATGGCATCCTGAATAGTTATGTCAAAGCAACGCCACGTATAATGGAAATGTTCTTGTTAATGGTCAAATGACTGATTTTTGGATGGTCGAATGGGTGAGTGAAGAGGAAGAAATAATTTGAGGTTGACTAGATGAAACAAAGGGAGAACTAATCTGAATGGATGAGGAAGAAATCAAATAGAGTTAGTCAATTAATTAACCAGAGCCTTTGTCTGCATTCGATAAACGTGTGTAATTAAAAATTAGGAATAAAAAGAATGAAGACGCAAAAAGTATGGACCAGCCGATTACCGCATGATTCATCTAAATCAATTGAAAATAATACTGAAGAAAGATAGTTGATCTAATTGGATTAACTACGTCAATATGTAAGATTAAATAATCGATGCATCTTTCAATGCGACGTGTCGACTATATTTTGTTGTTAAAGCTTGAGACTTCTTCATATCAATTTTGAAAGTGTTAGTTCATTGCCATTCTACATAAACAAATTATTTAAAGTTCTTTTGTTTCGCTCTTTAATTCTCAGTTCAGCTACAAGCAAAAATCGCTTGAATTGAACTGCTTACGAAAGTCTGTTCGATACCGTATCCCACTCTGTTCATTGAATGCTTCCTATCTAAGTTTGTATTTATAATTTTAGTTTTCCAATTTTACTGGTGCGCTGGTCCAATACGAAATCTCCGTAATATGTACACTGTAGTGGATTCGCATATTCCTGTACGATTTCGAGAAGATCTGGACACAGGCTACCTCGATTTTCATGATTATGTCGAAGGTCCTATTGATCCGACTATATTCACTTCAATGACTGATGCCTATGGTCCATGTCATCCAGGTCATGGTAGTGCCGGTAGTACTGATCGGACACGTACTCATTATACTGCACAAACACTACGTCGCTCATGGCCATGTGATAACCCCACATGTTCCTCAGCATAGTATTGTCAAAATCGAACTTTAAGAGAAATTTTTTTTTTTCATTAAATTTATTTTCTTTGATTTGTTTTGATATATTGAAATACATGCTGACGTTCAGTAACCGGATGTTGATCTGGAGTGTGAGTGTGGATGTGAGTATGAGGGTAAGAAAAACAGAGATTCACACCCCATTCAAAGCAAACATCTACATCCCAGATAAATACGTCTCGATTTGATATGTTTTAAGTAGAATTTTCTCGTTAGGTTTGCTTTTTGTTGTTATATTTTATATTTGTTTGATCATTGTTATCAATACTGATTAGTTCACAATTCTTGTATATATGTTCGAAATTTATTTAAGACGACGACTCAAATTCGTCTGAACGGTATTAAAAATACCACTCTGGTCTTGTTTTTGTCCATTTCTGCTTCTCGAACTAGGGTACAAACCATTCATCTCAAGAATGGGTGTGAATGAAGAAATGATCTGTACCTACATCCACACTCTTCTTGTATTTTAGATACTCAATATGAAATTTATTCAAGTTCCAATGTTCATCTTGATCGTCTCATATCTAAATAACAGCTTGTCAACGTTTGAAAACGTTGAAAAATTGTACAATCATTGTCTCATTCGAAAATATATCTTTCGTGAACTTCGGGTACTTGTATTAGGTACTAAATTTGTTTGAAAGAATCTTTGATTATACTTTGCGACATATAATTATTGTCTTTGTATGTTCTTTTTTTTTAACAAGTATATTATTGATAGAGTTTGTGTGTGTTAATCTCTATACATGAACTCTATTTATGACATAAAACATTTTACTAACAATAGAAAGTATGCGTGTAGTATTGCATGAAGACTAATGAGGATGGATATATTAAGTTATATACCGTAGAAATCAGTTCGTTGCTGTCGAGAGAAATGAGCGTCCTAGATCATGCACAATACATAAATGTATTTTTTAAAATATTAATAAAATAGAAGAATATTAAACTCTATGATAGACACAGAAATATACATATAATGAAAGAAAAAAAAAGAGTCTATCGACAATCTAACACATTTTTAGGATAATCACAAAGTTGAGTACGAAAATTGAATATTGTCATTTCAGGACATTCACTTTTTGATCTAAAATGATATAGAAATTTTAAAAATATCAATATTTTTATTGTCGCTCTCTGTATCAATTACCTTCGTTGACAATCAATAAATCGCCGACAATTCCCTGGATAACGAATTCTTACTGGATTTGGTTCTATTTTAGGACATGGATCAACTAAAATAACAAAAAAGAAGATTAATAGAGAACTTTCTTTACTTAACTAACCACATCGTTTATTCTCATCAGGTACATATTGAAATGCACATTCACATGCACCATCACGACATTCTGCATTATCAATACATTCAGCAGTTGCTGTCTCACAGATAGCACCTGGATCACCACGACATTTACGTACTAATGGATAATATCGATAATTTAGTTGACATGAACACATTGGTGGAATAATCGTTTTGTTACATATGAGATTAGCTCGACAATCAATATTACTTTGACATGAAGCACGATAATCACCATCTATATAAAAATGAACAATAATATTTAATTCAATAATGAAAAATGATCTACTCACAACATTGTTTTTGTTCAGTATCATAGCTATATAATGTCTGACAGTGACAACGTCTTGTTCCATCTACCATACCTGAACAAAGCATATATCGTTGGCAATCAGTATCTTTTCTACATAATGCATTTAGATCACCAACTAAAATAAAGTCATTCTTTTTTTTTGCATGGAAACATCATATACTAATTTACTTACTACATTGATTGTTAACAAAATCATACTTTAATGGACATCGACAAATACCCGATGATGATGATGATGATGATGATGATGATGATGATGATAATAATCTTTTCTTATAGCATGTAAATGGTTGTTTACAATCATTATCATTATGACATGATTCACCATATCGAGCAACTATAAATATTTCGAGGAATACATATAAAAAAAAATTGTTAACATTAATTTTAATTACCTCCGTTAATAATACTAGTAGTATCAGCCATTGTTACTTCTTCATAGAAAATCGGAGATTGTCCTATAAAAAAATATTTGTGTTTATTTGTTTGAGTTTCATTATGAAGTTATTTTAAATAAATGAAAAGATTACCTTGAAATGCCCATAATAAAAGAAATATAACTACAAGTAAACCACACATGATAATAACATATAAAACTAAAATACAGCTCAGTAAACGACGTTCTTGTGATAATCGTTTGAAACGAAATCGTAGTCTACAATAATTAGATTCTGTTTTAAATCAATAAAAAAAAAAGAACAACATATAATTGAAATACATTTGAAGTTGTTCATAAACGGAAGTATTCGATTTAGTTGATGAGAGAATTGTTTTAGTATCATCATCATTAATTTGATTGATATTTGGATCAACTAATGAATTTATTGTATTATCTTCTATATTCTGATGAATAGATTCGTTTTCTTTTTCAATAGCATCTAAGATTAAATCTGTTTCTATGGCTTTGTCACAATATTCCAAAGACTTTTGATCAGATAATATTTGTTGTTTTTGTTCATTTTCTATCATACTTGTATCATGATCAGAATGTATTTCAAATTGAGAAAATGGTAAATCTACTTGATTAGCTTGATCAATTCGTTTGATATCTGTATTTAATAATGCTGCTTCATTTATTTCTGTTCCAACACATTCATCTTTGAAATGATCACCAATTATTTGTACATTTTGTGATTGTTGTTTTTCAAGTGAACGATGTCGAAGATCTGTTTCACTGAATTGTTCAGATTCACACGTAAAAATAGATGAAATTTCTTCATTTTTTAGTGTTTTCTCTTTTTGTTTAATTCTTCGATGTTTTTGTCTATGCGGATATTGTTGATCGAGATATGTATCACGAGCTTCACACCATCGTTTTAAAGTTTTCTCTGACATTTCAGGGATATGTATCGTAGGTAAATGTACTAAAAGTTTTTTTTGACTGATATTAGCAGATAATCGTTTAATTTTTGATTTATGAGAAGATTGACGACAGTCTTCACTGATCAAGCTTACGTTTTCCGTTTCTGAAAATTATTTACAAACAAGAAATTAATTAATTAAGGAGGCCTTCTAAAAAAAAGATTGCCTTTTTTTCGAGTATCCAATCTTGATGAAATTCGCAGTGAATGTATACTTCAAGCTACTCACCTTATAGTAAAAACTTCAGCTCGATACATTGAAACTATGAAGAGTTAACTTAAGATTATGGATCAATATATAGGTTTCCCTGCGTCTCAAATTTGTCTACCGTTTCAAATGCTAGAAAGTTCGAATTGGTTTTAAAATGCAGTAAAGACGTGGCACTACAACTTAATAAGGCCTGATTTTTTTTCTTAGTTTCTGTTTCGAGGGAATTCTTCTGAAAAAATACAGAAAAATCCAGGGATGTAGGTCCAGAACGATTAGGTTTTTTCTTAAACATCACAGAAAAAATCGAAGAATTCGATTCTCTAAACTAATATAAAGAGAATATCCGAGTAATTAGCCATAGATCACTGATTAGAACGAATCAAATAAATGTACTTAAATATGTACAAGAGAATTTTTTTCTGTTTTCGTGGGAACATTTTAGACTGTACAGAAATATCAACAAAGATCACCTGTTGAAAAAAAACTTATAGATTCATGTAAATCGATACACATCATATACTTAAGTAATTTCATTTCCTTCTGTAGTTTTTCATGTTCGAGTGAGACTTGAAAATAAAAGCTTTTAGAAAAAAAAGCGTTATTTTTTTCTGTGTGAGGATTCAGAAAAATCTATGTAATATCCTTAAATCTCACCATAAAATCAATAAACTCTAGTGCCCTCTAGAATAGACACTTTGCTCTATCTAACGAGCCAAAAATCAGAAAATCGATAAATTTGACCGAGATTGACTCTTTCTGGGGGATTAAGGACATTCCTTCTTTTTCCAGGTTTCTCAAGAACGATTCTACTAATAATTGTGGAACTTTTTTAAGATCGATAGGTTTCGACTAGGAAAGTAAAAGTTATCATAGACTCAGAATTCCAAAATGCTTCATTCTATGAAATAGAGAGGACGCAGAGACCAAAAATGACCTAAAGCTTCACCTCGTTGCAAACAGCCAGAATCTATTTTTTATGGCTTAATTTTTTTGTAATAACTAAGACCCCATTGAACTGTATGTATTTTTTTTCTTTCAAAAGTCTTGTTTCTTTCGTTTAGGAGAGCCAAGATACTGGAAGCCCTGTCAAAAAACGTGTTTTTTTTGCCTAGGACAAGTTTTGTAAGATCTGCCTAAAATCACCAGAACATTATTTTAAGAAAAATACAAAAGATATACATCCCGATTTGATCCTAGTTGTCATACAAAAAATTTCAGCTCAATCGGTTGAAGCGTCTGAAAGAAAAAGAAAGTAAACTTCAATTTTTCTATTCAAAAATTGATTTTGAGAAAAAAAGCGAAACAATGTATATTTTCCTCTACGTCCACGACATAAATTTCATTTCTTAATGTTAAAAGACAATTTTTTGTATTAAACAAATATTCAATATACTTACGTTGTTTCGATTTGTCCGTATGAATACTTTTACCTAATGATACTGAATCACGATCACTTTTATGATGACATATCCAATCATCACGTTTCCCTTCCGACGATAACTTCAATCGCTGCTGTTTTTCTTGCATTTTATAGATATATTAATACTATACTTTTCAGATAGACGATGTTGAAAGTTGTCTTCGTTATACTATACCAACCTTATCTGTTCTTTCTTTTTTTCTCTTTTGTTTTAATTTTATAGACAATTCTTATTGAAGCGATTGAATTACATGTAAAAAAAAAAGAACTCATTCATATGTCCTTCATGATTAACAATTGTGTTTTTGAATAGATATAGAATAAAATGGAAATTTTTTTTTTATTGAAGAAATGAAAAGACACATAATCAAACAAACAAACAAAAAAAAAGCTCTAATAATTCTCTGATATCATCTAGAGTTATGATTTTATCATTTACGACAGAAATAAACGAAGAATAATGATAATATTAAATAAACAATATGATACAATTTATAATTGAACATTCTCGATGATGATGATGAAGATAGACTAGCGAAACTTCTTGCAGATGATGGTGCAATTGTTTCAGTCCATATTGGATTATCATAATTAAATAATGGATGATTAATCATCGATTTTGACATACCTAAGTCATAATTACCACAATAACCATTTAGAATTGGTTGAGCAGGTATTCCTCGTCTAAACAGAAAAAAAATGAATCATATCAATGTTTGAACTATTTCTTTTTTTGTCAAACCTTAGAAGACGACATCGATGAACATCCTAAAAAACAAAAGAAAAAGATAAAATTGAGAATATTTGTTAAAATCATAATTTACCAATCGAAATTGAGCGTCTTCTGAATTATTTATACTAGCTGCACTCCATAATCGTTCGGCAACAGCAGCTGCTTTAGGCCAAAAACGTGAAAGTAAATTCGTTCCATCTACAAATTCACCCCAAAGACAAGCTTCCCCACCAAGAATTCGTTCTTTTGCTTCACTTGATCCTATAAATCAATTAATATAAACTCTTGACTCAATTATTCAACAAAAAATAAATTTCACCAGAAAAATGTCGAAGTGGTTCAACTTCATAATATTTGAAAAATTCCAAATTCATTACAGATGTATCTGTATTATATTTTCCATAACTAATATAATTAAGATACCAAGGACTTGAAAGTATAACATTATAACCTTCATTAGCTGCTCTATTTAAATATGAAGCCCATGAACTAAATTCAATATTATCACTGGAATCTTTCCATACTTGAATAATAGTACCCGGAGGTAACTAAATAAAACAAATATAAATCAAAGAATACTTGTATGAACAAAAAAAAACAAAAATTTTTACTTCAACGTGTTCATCCCAAACATCTTGCCAAACGATAGGTGTAACACTAATATTACGTGTTATGTCTAATATTTGATCTGCATAATATTTATGAAGATTTTTTGTACTTAAAATATTATTATCAACCATCCATTGACGAATATTTGGATTAGAAAGCCTGAAGACAAAAGACAAAACAAATCAATAAATCAATCTTTTGAATGATAAATTACATACCAACATTTATCATAAACTTCATCCATACCTTAAGAAAAAAACAAAAAAAAAGAAGGTTTATTTGCGAAAGATTATCTTTTTCTTCTTCTTCACATACCAAGATGAATATAATTCGAAGGAAAACGTTCATGAATTTCTCGAAGAAGAGCATCCATTGTTGAATAGACACGTGGTTCACTTGGATTAAATATTTCCATTTCACCTTGAATTGAATAAATAGATTGATAAGGTTTTCCATGTGTCCAACAAACAGTTATTAGCTCAGGCATAGATTTACTCCATGAAAATGTATGACCAGGTGTATCAATCTAGTGTTTCAAAAAAAAAAAAGAGAATTCAAATTAAAATACAATTCAAACAAATCTACTTCAGGAATAACACGAATACCACGTAAACGAGCATGTTCAATAATATCAGCAACATCATCTGGTGTATAAACATGATCAGGAGAATAAGCACCCTAGAATATCATATTATAAAAAAGCAAAAATCAATAAAATAATTGTGTCTAAATACTGCTCGTGAAAGATTTGGAAAAGTTTTGCTTTCAAATGGAAATGATTGATCATCTACAAGATGCCAATGAAATACATTTAATTTATTGTATGACATTACATCCTATTATAATATTAATGTAGATAAAAAAACTCATTTACATATATTATTAAAACTTACAAGATTCTTTTTAATAATCGATACTGGTAAAAAATGTCGTGCTGAATCAAGCATAGCACCACGATGACGAAATCGAGGACTATCAATAATATCTACAGAACTATTGATAACAATCTAAATAAATATAATAGATGAGATCAAGCTCATAAGAAAGATTAAAATGTACATAATTTTGTTCATTGATATAGATTAATTGTGAAAATGTTTCTAGACCACGTAATAAACCCCAAACACTATATGCTTCAACTAAAGCGAATTTTTGCTTGATTGTTAAGTTATCTATCAAGATCGAATAAGAAATTTATTAATTAATTACATTGTCATTTTTATATACTCACAAGCTTCATTTGAATTAAGTTCAATATATTTTTCACATTGAATATTGCCTTTTACATTCAATGTTAAATTTTGCAAAATATTCTCCATATTTGATGATGGTTGTTTCATATCGAGTGTTGGTGGAAAAAAGATTGGTTTATATCGTTCAATTGCTTTTGCAATAATATCACAAGTTTGAAGATTAGAATATACTGCAAGATCATTGGGACGAATGTATAACAAATCATTAGAAATATTGATTTGTTGTGGATGTGGCCAAACTGCATTTGGTGGTGATCGTTTTCCCTTTATAAATTTTCTTAACTATCTTCTTTTTCTCAAATGAATGACTTACTTTTAATGGATATTTCACTTCAATATAAGTGATTTCACATTGAATATAAACAAAGAATATGACGAGCAAAAATTCAAACAGAAGATATTTCATCTTTTGCAATCCAACTATACGTTCTACTTGTTATAAATGCTTAAAAAGAAACAATCGTTTGACCGGTCGAATCACTAGGCTTACTGTCCGTTTCTTTGTTTTTTTTTTGTTTAAACATGCTTTCGTTCGATGATCGTTGAATAAATATGAATAAATTTACGTCATCAATATGAAGAGAAAGTAGGATAGGAGGTTTTCTTTTTCGTTTTATTTTGTCTCTTCAAACACAGACACACACACACACACATACATATATATATATATGTTTGATCTGCCTTACTGAGTAGTCGATGACGATGATGATAATACGCATACATTAGCATAAAACACAACAAATAGAAAAACAAAAACAGGAGTATTTTAATAAAATTTCCTTTTTTTCCCTTGATTTAGTAATGATTTTGTAGCGCACAACGTTTTTCGCTCTTTTTTAACAACAACAAACAATAGTAAACGAAACAGAAGAAAAGAAAACGAAAGTTAACAAAAAAAAAAGAATGCGCCAAGATAATCGAACTGCGCATATAATGAAAAGAAAAAGAAGAGAAAGAACATAAAAGACAATCGATGTGTGTATATGTGTCTATGTGTTTGCTTGTTTATTTTATTTTTTTGTTTATTTTTTTGTAAGTGACGACATTTAATTTTTGTTTTTATGAGGCAGCTGAATTTGTTGCTGCTTGTTTAGCTGCATAAAGTTGTTTAGCTTGATGAGCTTGAAGTACGGCAATAGCTTCTTCAACCTAATATAAAAAATATAAACATAATTTCTCATTGAAAATTTTTATCAAAATCAAAATAAACAAACCTTAGCTTTAAGTGATTCACGTGATTCAAGCATATGAAGAAGTTCAGTATTATCAATTTCGAGAAGCATACCAGTTATTTTACCAGCTAATTCTGGTTGCATTTGTTGAATCAATGGAAATAAACGTTCACCTAACATTTGTTTTTGTTCTTGTGGTGTTGCATTAGCAAGAGCAGCTGGTGTTAATGGTTCTTGTCCAGCAACTACAATTGAATTTGGAAATCCACCTGGATTCTAAAAAGACAAAAAAAAATAACATTATTTTTACTTTCAATCTTCTTGAGACGGAGCCATCCGAGAAGGCAAATCCCAAATCATTACCTAAAGTCTATTGAGGTCTCATGCGCTATCTTTTTGGAGTTACGACTGTTTTTTTACCATGCGCTCGTAAATCGTGCCAAAGATAAAAACTTCAGTGTAACTGTAAAAGGGTATTGCATAAGAAAGAATCCTTCTAGTCTCAACAGGTCCTACGTAATGACTGTTATCTCGTCGATTTGAAATACTTACGCTAGATGGCATATTTCTTGCCGTACGTGTATAAGCTGTTGCTTGTTGAGGTTGTGCACCAGTTTGTGGTCGAATGGAATTATTCGGCATCATTTGTCCTGGTGTTGGTGTTGGTCGTGTTGGCATTGGCATACCTGATCGAGATGCAACACTAGCCATAGCAGCTGATCGTTGAGCAGCAGCCATAGCTGATTGTGGCATTTGCATACCAATCATTTGTGCACCTGCTGGAGGTCTCATACCACTAGCTGGTGCAGCTGATGACCAACGTGGTTGTGCTGGTCGATAAGTTGGCATTGCAGTTGGTGTAAAGAAATTACGTTGTGGTGATGGACCCATTGGTGCTTGTAAATAAGGCATCATACCACTCATACCATTTGGAAATGGTAATGGCATTTGTGGTGGTACACGTGATGTTACCATACGTTGCATATGTTGATTAGTTAAATGCATACGACGTTCTTCTTTACGTTGTGCTAATGCAACATAAAGTGGTTTAGAACCAACAATAGAACCATTCATTTCTGTAACAGCTTTTGTTGCTTCATCAGGTGCACTAAAACAAACAAAACCAAAACCTTTTGATCGACCATTTTCTGACATAACCTAAATACAAAAAACAAAAAAAATGTTTTTGTTTTTTGAAAATCATTAAAGAAATAAGATGAATTTACTTTTGCACTTGTAATTGTTCCAAATTTAGAAAATTCTTTTTTTAAACGTTCATCATCAATAGTATCATCCAAATTTTTAATATATAAATTGACACCTTGATATTTATTCATACG